AGATGATACAACATATTATAAGGTTTTTTATAATGCATTCATTATAATGCCTTAAGAATACCCTTATAATGTATAAATACGGGCTTCATAGAAAGTATTACCAAAAATTGTCATCACACCATGTGTCAGGGATCTGGAAGGAGGACCCAATTGCAGTGTGTGTAACAAGGGTTTATTGACAAAACAGATAAATACAAAAGGGGTGTGAGGTGCACAGGTGATACCACAACAGGAACACAGAAAACAGAGATAGCTAGGGAAGGCCACTGGAACAGCCTCAGACATCAACTGGCAGAATACTATAGCAGCAGAGGAGGCGGCAAGACCAGGCCGGTGGAGAGACCAGAGCAAGGCACCAGAGAGCTGAGCTCAGATACTTATTGACCATAAACTCTGAAGCACCCCAGATGCCAGGCAAGGGAACCAGTGGACAGGAACAGGTCAGGACCGGAACTCTAACACCACAACAAGACAAAACATGGTTCCACAGGAACACAAATTACTCCAAGACAGGCAAGAGAATAAACAAAACAAAAGGACTAATAAAGAGGTAAAAATAATTAAACCAACACGAATAACTAAAATATCAACCAATAAATGAAAATAAAAGATCAGGACTAAGAGAACTAAGCTCAGATACTTATTGACCATAACTCTGAAGCACCCCAAACGCCAGGCAAGGGAACAGGTCAGGACAGGAACTCTAACACCACAAGAAGACAAAACATGGCTCCACAGGAACACAAATTACTCCAAGACAGGCAAGAGAATAAACAAAACAAAAGGACTAATAAAGAGGTAAAAATAATTAAACCAACACGAATAACTAAAATATCAACCAATAAATGAAAATAAAAGATCAGGACTAAGAGAACTAAATTAATACTAAAATAAAAGCAAAAAGACAAAAACAGACCAAATCCAAAAACAAGGAGCAAGACAAGAATATAGAATTACAAGAGACAAGACTAGGGCAAGACTAGAGCACAAGATCAAACAGACAGGGAACACATACTCAGCCACATCCACAGACAGAGACAAACACAGTGAGGGAAAGAATGACCACGGACCGGCAAAGACAATAGGGCAAGGGGCACTATAAATAGGGAGGAAAACACACGAGGAACAGGTGAGAGCAATTACACTAACAAGGACTCAATGAGGGCTAACAAGAGGGTGTGGTAATGAGGAAACCAGGAGGAGGGGCTAAAGAAGCACATGGCTGAGAAAAACAATCAACTAGGCCATGTGCTGACAAGACAACATAGACACAAGAAACAAAACACAAGACAACAGAGTGTCAGGGCAAAACCCTGACACCATGTGCTAAGATATGTTATGGAACGTTGATAGTCCAAAAAAGAATTGTTATCACTGCTTTTGAGCAATGCAAGAATAGCTATGTCATCTGCATATTTAAAATAATGGATGGTAGTAGATGGACTCTGACAATCATTCGTATAAAGAATGTAAAGAAATGGACTTAATACACATCCCTGGGGGGCCCCAGTATTAAAAACAATGGTGGGTGATAATGAATTGTCCACTTTTACCACTTGCGGCCTATTAGACAGAAAATTATAAATCCAGTAAATTAATGGTGATGGGACTTGCAGGCCCTGTAATTTCTTGATTACCTGATGACGCTGAATTTAATTAAAGGCAGAACAAAAGTCAATAAAAAGAAGTCTAGCATAATTTCCAGGGGTGTCCAAGTGTCGAAGCAGACAGTGCAGAAGACAAGCCACTGCATCATCTGTACCTCTCTTCTGCTTGTATGCGAATTGAAGAGAGTCCAAAAATGGTGAAACATATGGAAAAATTATATTTTGGACCAATTTCTCAAAACATTTCATTATGATTGAGGTTAACGACACCGGCCTGTAATGATTTAACTCTGATGGATGTGATTTTTTAGGGACAGGAATGACAATTGATGATTTCCATATGACTGGTATTTTTGAAGTGCAGAGTGATCGAAGGAAGAGAGAATGAAGAATAGGAGTTAATTCCAGGGCACAGTTTTTCAAAACCTGACCTGGAATTCCATCCGGCCCAGGAGCCTTATTCGGCTTGCATTTAATGAGCTGGAAATAGACATCCTGCTTGGTTAAGAGGGACTCATAATCCAACTCTTGAAGAGGCATGGAATCCAAAAGGCTGCTATACTCTTCTGAAAAAATCAGAGGTTTCAAAACGGGCATTAAAATTATTATGACTGGTAGAAAGGGGCATTAACCTTGTCTTTCCTTATCTCTGGAGTGAGTTATGTTACATATTCATTCAAAAAATATTTTGCCTGCTTGTTTTTCCTCTCAATTGCTTTCTTGAAGAACATGCATTCTGTTTACTTGAAATCTTCACATATTTGTTGTGGAAGACACTTGATTTGGTAATAAAGCCTCTGTTTAACATATTCATTTTGACCATCTGTCCTGCGGTGTTCTGTTGATGGAAACTTTCGGGTTCTGGTGCTTTCGTTGTGTCAGTGTCAGTGTCAGTTAGCTTTCTTTTATTTTTGATTTTCCCTCATATTAGCTGGCCTAATAGTATAACATTTCTGGTTGAAATGGTAGTGTGTGAGAGTGTAAATGTGCCAGCTGTATTTGACACTGACGTTTATTAGAAGGGTTAATGTGGAAATTAACTGCCTGCGAAGAGACGTTGTTAGCACCCATTTACCGCACTAAAATCTACTTTGACTTTTCCATCTCAGACTTTATAAACTAATCTGGCTGTGCAAGGAGAAAAAAAAAGTTGCTTTCTATCTGCAATGGTGGCTGTTTCTGTGCTGACTACATAACAATGAGTGGCTGAAATTTGAGTGTATTTTTTTTTTTGTCATAAAAGACACCTGGAATTTCAAAGTTGGCCATCATTTAATCACTCTCATTATTTTTAAAACCAACATCATTCTTCAGTGAAACACAAAAGCAGATGGAATTGAATGGTGACCAATGGCTGTCAAGCAAGATATTCTGTGAATAATGACCCAACAATGAAAATGTTGTCATCATTTGCTCATCTTCATGTCGTTCCAAATAGATAATGATGTTTTGAAAAGTGTTGAACCATGTAATGAAAGTCAAAACAACATTGGACCACGTTGACTTCACTGTATAGCCAAAAAAAAAAAAAAAAAATTTTTCAAAATATTTTCTTTTGTGTTTTATAGAAGAAAGAGACATGAGGGTGGTTATATGATGACCAAATTAGATTTGTTTGGTGAACTATTCATTTAAAATTTAATCTGTTCCCAACACAAAGCAATCTTATGATGTGTGAACCACTTTTATCATACTTTTATGTGCTTTTTGTGCCCTTGGTCCCCATCCAGTTTAATTGTGTGGAAGAGCATGAACGGTCTTCAGAACTTCTCCTTTTATTTTTCATTCTTCAAAATATCTTCTTTTGTGTTTTATAGAAGAAAGAGACATGAGGGTGGTTATATGATGACCAAATTAGATTTGTTTGGTGAACTATTCATTTAAAATTTAATCTGTTCCCAACACAAAGCAATCTTATGATGTGTGAACCACTTTTATCATACTTTTATGTGCTTTTTGTGCCCTTGGTCCCCATCCAGTTTAATTGTGTGGAAGAGCATGAACGGTCTTCAGAACTTCTCCTTTTATTTTTCATTGAACAAAAAGACATGTATGTTTGGAACAACATGAGGGTGAGTAAATGATGACAGAGGTTTAATTTTATAGTCAACTATCACTTTAAATTTGAGCATTTTTAAAAAAGGCAGCAACCAGCAATGATAAAGCTATTTTTTTCTTAGTGGCGAATAAATAGTCAGTAAACACTGCAGGTGTCATGAGAGCCTCAGGCAGTTATGAGCTGAGTTATGACTGAAAATGTCCTAGCCTGCATTGATTTCACAGTAAAATTCACAGTATTCACACTACACAGCATTTTATTGTAAGAAATTACTGTTAAACCTTGTAAAATCCCGGCAATTTTTACAGTGCATAAAGTGTGCACTTAGCTTTAAGTTCTTTCACAGCATTAATGACCTTCTCTGACACCTTTACAAGAGATATGCTTTCACACAAGCTGGAAAACAGTTCAGTTTTCAGGAGCTGTGAACATCACATTTGAAAACCATTCTCATTTTCCCACAATGCCCCAAACAAACAGGAATGTCCTGGTGTCTGACAGCGTGCTTAGCGTGAGTAATGTTAAGAGCTTTAGAGACCCAGTCGTGCTCTGTCTCCCCTGCTCTGTAAAGCCCATAGCCACCAATGTTCTCTCCATGCACTTAACAGATCAGTCTTGTTCCTGCCAATTATTCAGCCACAGAACTGCATTCAAGCCAAACTAAATTGCACTGCTGCTTCCCTTCAGACTTAAAGGAATAGTTAAAAAAATTAAACTTCTGTTATTATTAACTCACCCTCATGTCGTCCCAAACCCAAATGCTATTATTTTTCTTTGGAACACAAAGGAAAACTTTGTCAAAATAATCTTCACCAGGGCTTTTCCATACAATGACAATTCATTGTGGCTGCAGCTGTTAAGCCACAAAAATACACAAAGCACCATAAAAGCACCATATTTCGGAGAATCCTCCCCGTTGGTGTGCTTTTAAATTGAGTACCGAATCACTGAGTGATTTAGTTAGTTAGTTAGTTAGTTGAACTTGTGAACTGGATCAATGGATCAGTGATTAACCTGTTTAATCAAATGTACAAATCTGACCTAGAGATTTATTTGTGTTCATTGATCAAACTGATTCATTCACAGATTGAATCTGAGCTCGTCTGACTCAATAAACCAGTCAATGACCTAAATTTTAGTCTGTTCCTCTCACAATTATCATATGACTTCAGAAGACACAAAAAAGCAACAAAAAAGTGGTCTATACATATTGTGCAATGCAGTGGCGTAGCCAGAATTGTAATTTGGGGGGGGGGCTATCATAAAATGAGGGGGCCGCTCTATATTACATGTAGGCTATAATGTCTATATTAAATGTGCGCATTTCCAAGTGCTTGTGCGGCGTGGGGAAGCTGAATAGCAGTGCGCTTATACTGCATGACAGTAAACATGAAGGTGCCGCTGCGATCACTTGCACTTATACTCCGTCATTTTTGGTCATACAGACAAGAATAATTACATCGTTCGAATCTGGTAAGGGTCTACATTTGTTTGTGTACACTCGTTTGTGTGCACGTTGTGCACTGTAAAATAATGAAACCAAACTTGAACGCGTCAAAAATGAACTCGTGCCTCACAGACATGAGAAATATATCTATAGAACGCGAAATGTTTTAATAATGAACCAATTCAAATAGAAAACAAATAGTCAGTTGCCTCTTCACTCGCTATCTCCTTGTGGAATGCTGAAGCAGGCTCAGGCATAGATGGCAAACTTTCTCTTTCTCGCTCATCTTTACGTGATTTCTTGAAAAATTGTAATATTGAACTGCCATTGTCATTGGACAATTCATAAGAGTAATAAATCAACAATTCCTTCATTTTTTTTATTTTAAGAAGTCAGAAAACTGGGGGGGCAGGCATGCAAATGAGGGGGCCCAGGCCCCCTCATGGCTACGCCACTGGTGCAATGTATTACACATCTTCTGAAGTCATACAATAGCTTCTTGTGAGAAACGGACCAAAATTCAAGTATGAATTTCTGAGAATCTTCCCCTCCAGTGAGCTGTTAACTTGTGAACCGGATCATTCTTTTGAACCAGTTCTTTTCAAAGAACCTAGTTAATCCAATTCACAAATTTGATTCAACAGGTCATTCCTGTACTGGACTGATTCATTCAATGA